ATTTTTTTCTATCGTTTTTATTTATTGCTTTCAATTTTCTTTAAAAATAAAGTTATGACGGAAAAAATAAAACCACCTTAAGAAAACTCACATCCTGCTTTCTAAATCTAAAAACATAAACTACACCCCTTCCCGATCAACCCCTAATATGATCAAAATCATTTTAATATATTTCAAAATAAAGAATGCAACTTATAAAGACAAATAGGGAATCAACAAAACAAAATAAAGAAAGAAAAAGAAGGAATATACCTACCTGAATAAATGGAACCATAAATGACATAAAGATAAGTTCATATGACTTCTGCGGCTCATCAAAGTCCCCTATATCGCCAATAATAGTGCTTTTTAGTACAATACAAACCATCATCCACTTCCCTTTGTCCAAAGTTCTCCAACTTATATAAAAATTACAGAAAATAAATTATCTAGACAATGATATGTGAATATCTACCATTATCCAACCAATTTTGTCACTAATCATGTCTCTAAAAAGAAATGAAATATTTTCCTCTTCTGCTCGAAAGTTGTGGATTTGTGATTTCGGTAATAAATGAAAGTAATGAACTACACTAGACAGATGTTATTTAGCCCAGTAAGCCCAATATAAGTATATGGGCTTTATTAAAATGGACCACCACGCGTGTCGCAAAGAACGTTTTTCACGCGCCGCCGGGAAAAGTTGCCGCCAATCATTTTCCCGCCAAACTCGACACCATAACTTGCCTCGAAAAGCCGTCTCTTTCTATTCCAGTCGCTTCATATTTGCTCCTTAGTCGCAGAACACAGCGAAAGGATCTTGCTTTATCTTCCGATGGAGGGTAACTTCGAGGAGACGAACAAGCTCCCGGAGCTTAAATTAGGTATTCTAAAACCCTAATTTCTTTTGCTTTCTCGTGTTAGAATTTCAATTTTGGTTTGTGGGTTTGACTAAAGTTTCTTTCTTTTAACTTTGAAGATGCTAAGCAGGCTCAAGGGTTTCTCTCCTTCTTCAAAACCCTACCAAATGTAAGTCTCCTTGTGCTTCAATCATCTCTAGGGAAAACAGATAAGATTAGGGATTCAAGCAAATGTATTCACTGGAACTATGCTTATGTTGGGTTTTGATTGGTCTTTTGCTTACAGGATTCGAGAGCTGTTAGGTTCTTTGATCGCAAGGTGAGTTCTGAAACCACAACTTTTGTAACTTCTCACTGGTCTCTAGACTTTTTGATTAAATGCATTTTTGTAGGATTATTATACAGCTCATGGGGAGAACTCAGTGTTCATTGCACAGACTTATTATCATACAACCACTGCTCTACGCCAGATTGGGACTGGAGTAAACGCTCTTTCAAGCGTTAGCATTAGTAAGAACATGTTTGAAACTATTGTTAGGGATCTTCTCCTGGAGAGGAATGATCATACCGTGGAGCTTTATGAAGGAAGCGGGTCGAATTGGAGGCTTGTGAAAGCAGGTTCTCCTGGAAACATTGGAAGTTTTGAGGATGTTCTGTTTGCAAACAACGAGATGCAGGACACACCTGTTGTTGTCTCCTTGTTTCCGAGTTTTCAAGAGAGTAGATGTGTTGTGGGGATGGCTTATGTTGATCTCACCAGGCGGATTCTTGGACTAGCTGAGTTTCTTGATGATAGTCGCTTCACTAACTTGGAGTCTTCTCTTGTTGCTATAGGCGCAAAAGAATGTATCTTTCCAGCTGAGTCTGGCAAATCAAATGAATGCAAAAGTTTGTATGAGTCTCTGGAGAGGTGTGGTGTGATGACAACAGAGAGAAGTCGTCAGGAGTTTAAAGGAAGAGATTTGGATTCTGATCTAAAGAGGTTGGTGAAGGGGAATATGGAACCTGTTAGAGATTTGATCTCTGGGTTTGAGCTTGCGACTCCTGCTCTTGGTGCATTACTCTCGTTCTCTGAACTTCTTTCTGACGAGGGTAACTATGGGAACTTCACAATACGCAGATATGATATCGGCGGATTCATGAGACTTGACTCTGCAGCTATGAGGGCGTTGAATGTGATGGAGAGCAAAACCGATGCAAACAAGAACTTCAGTTTGTTTGGTCTCATGAACAGAACCTGTACTGCAGGGATGGGTAAGAGACTGCTTCATATGTGGCTCAAGCAACCTCTCGTGGATTTGAATGAGATTACGATGAGATTGGATATAGTTCAGTGCTTTGTTGAAGAAGCTGGGTTAAGACAAGATCTTAGACAGCATCTGAAGCGTATCTCAGATATTGAGAGGCTTGTGCGGAGTCTAGAAAGAAGAAGAGGTGGTTTACAGCACATTATCAAACTCTATCAGGTACTAAAATTTGCACTTCTTACTGATGTATCAATGTTCTTAAGTTTCTATGATTATTAATTCACTTTTCATCTTCTCTGTGCAGTCAACTATAAGGCTTCCGTTTATCAAAACATCACTGCAGCAGTACACCGGAGAGTTCTCATCACTCATCAGCAAGAGATACATGAAAAAGCTTGAGGCCTTAACAGACGCTGATCACCTCGGCAAGTTCATTGATCTAGTAGAGTACTCTGTAGATCTTGACCAGCTAGAAAATGGAGAATACATGATATCTTCAAGCTACGACACCACATTATCATCTCTTAAAGATCAGAAAGAATTGCTGGAGCAGCAGATATACGAACTGCACAAAAAGACAGCTATAGAACTTGATCTTCCGGTAGACAAGGCTTTAAAACTTGACAAAGCAGCGCAGTTTGGGCATGTGTTCAGGATCACGAAGAAGGAAGAGCCCAAGATCAGGAAGAAGCTGACGACACAGTTCGTGGTGCTTGAGACTCGCAAAGACGGAGTGAAGTTCACAAACACAAAGCTTAAGAAACTTGGGGACCAGTACCAAAGTGTTGTGGATGATTATAAGAGCTGTCAAAAGGAGCTCGTTGATCGTGTAGTTCAGACTGTGGCCAGCTTCTCCGAGGTATGTTTAGTTATTCATGTTTAAGTATTGCACAGTTAGCTACCTTGAATCATATAAAATGTGTATTGTATGGTTTAGGTGTTTGAGGAGTTAGCAGGGTTGCTCTCTGAAATGGATGTTTTGTTAAGCTTTGCTGATTTGGCTGCCAGTTGCCCTACTCCATACTGTAGACCAGAAGTCACCTCTTCGGTTAGTACAACGTCAAGTTGATTTGATTGTTTCCGTTCAAAAATTTACATAGTTTTCCTTTTTGTTTTATTCATTGCAGGATGTTGGAGATATTGTACTAGAAGGAAGCAGACATCCATGCGTAGAAGCTCAAGATTGGGTGAACTTTATACCAAACGATTGTAAACTTGTAAGTATTGTAACATAAAGCAGATAGGTTTTGTTTTTCTTTATGTCCCTATTTTGACTTGAAGCAATTCCCTTGTCAAAATCAGGTGAGAGGGGAGAGTTGGTTTCAAATAATAACAGGGCCTAACATGGGAGGGAAGTCTACTTACATTCGTCAGGTTGGTGTGACTGTTCTGATGGCTCAAGTTGGTTCGTTTGTTCCTTGTGATAAAGCTTCAGTATCCATCAGAGACTGTATCTTTGCCCGTGTAGGAGCAGGCGATTGTCAAGTGAGTTTAACTCCCTGCTTCTTTGTTACTGAAACTACTGAGTTGTGCAAACCTATTAAGTTCTTTTTTCACTTTCATGTTTTAGCTGCGTGGAGTGTCTACTTTCATGCAAGAAATGCTTGAAACCGCTTCGATATTAAAAGGAGCTACTGATAAATCACTGATAATAATCGATGAACTGGGCCGTGGAACATCAACATATGATGGTTTTGGTTAGTTTTAACTGCAACGTGTCTTCTTTTATTTTGAATTTTTAGTTAATCTGCTGTTAACATTATCTTGGTGACTATGTCAGGTCTAGCATGGGCTATATGTGAGCATCTGGTTCAAGTGAAGAAAGCCCCTACTCTGTTTGCTACTCACTTCCATGAACTTACTGCCTTGGCTCAAGCAAACTCTGAGGTTGCAGGTAACACTGTTGGTGTTGCGAACTTCCATGTCAGCGCACACATTGACACAGAAAGCCGAAAACTCACCATGCTTTACAAGGTTTGTCTTTAGTCAAACAGCATCAACTTCTTCCCAAAATGAACTGAATCTTAGAATTCATCCTTTAGTAAAAATGTCTCTCTGGTTGAGTTTTTTAGAAAGATGAAATTATATTGTTGTGATGTCTGTGTTTGTGTCTGGTTAGGTTGAACCAGGGGCATGTGACCAGAGCTTTGGGATTCACGTGGCTGAGTTTGCAAATTTCCCTGAAAGCGTAGTGGCGCTTGCAAGGGAGAAAGCTGCAGAACTGGAAGATTTCTCCCCCAGTGAGGTTAGGATCCGTTTGTCTCATTTTGTATCTAAGAGTTTTGACGAAGATTGACAAATTATTGTGTGGTGTTGTGTTGCAGGAGAGAGGGAAGAGAAAGAGCAGAGAAGATGATCCAGAGGAAGTATCAAGAGGGGCAGCAAGAGCTCACAAGTTTATAAAAGAATTTGCAGAGATGCCACTTGATAAAATGGAGATAAAAGATTCACTTAAACGCGTACGTGAGATGAAAGAAGAGTTAGAGAAAGATGCTGTGGACTGCCACTGGCTCAAGCGCTTCCTCTGAAACAGCCTTTGCAATTCACCTCCAGTTGCTTTTGTTTCAGTTCTATCTTTGTAAATTCTCTCTCTCGGCTTTTGTAGGACTTGTACTAGTTGTTTTGGGATTAGGTGGGTGAAGAAAAAAACAACATTGCGTTTTGTTGATCTTTTTTAGGGAAAGCTTTCAGACAAAAACATCAGTTCATTTTTGAACAGAATTGAGATAATATCTAGATCGGTTCCTGCAATGAATAGTATTCTCGTGGTACCACAAGATTTGAGTTTGAATACAAATAGCACAAAGGCAAAACCAAGAACCACATAAGAATCATCCAGAAGTCTCATGACCAAGAAGAGGGCGACGACTTGCATCATCTGCTGGGGTCTCACGACCAGAAGGAAGAGGAGTCATCAAGAGGAGGAACATCTCCCACCGCACAGTTCACCTAACATCTGTGTCATTCGAGAATAACCAGTCGGAGTCACCTGAAAGTAAAGAGTAAAATTTATGTTCTCTTAAATAAACAAATTGATTCAAAAAAGTTGTCAATGATAGCCCTAGAATATAAAGATTACATCACAGCATCCTAGTGGGTCTCCTCTAGCTGCATCAAATCCTGCTGATACGATGACATAATCGGGAGAGAATGCAGAAGCTGCCAGGGAAGGGTTCAGTTAGAATTATACTGGATAAAAAATGAATGCACATTCAGAAGATTAGTTCACTTCCTGAGCATAGTGGTCATAAACTAAGCCAAAGCCTTGGTTTGTGTAAACCAAATATTTATAAACACCAAAAGGGGAAAGCAAAACACGACTCTGTACCTATTGGAAGAAGTACATGCTGAAAGGCGTAGATATAGTCTTTATCACCAACTCCACCACAGCTACATGGAACATTTACACAATAGCCTTCACCACCATTTCTACCAACCTACACCTCACAAATCGAATATTACTAATTTTTGCTCTGCTACATGAACAAGATAACAAACACAATATAACACCACATTATACAAACTCAACAAAAAGCTAGTCCATTGCGGTATTTAAGAGCACTAATGTATAATAGAAAAGCACATGTACTTCATCAGCAGCTCCAGTACCCGGATAGAATTCTCCTCCTTCATGTATGTGCAAGGAAATGTACAATACCTATATAATTGTTAACAATAGTTAGCGTAGAAAAGGCCAGTTCACAAGAATAATTTACTGCATCCGACACTCCAAAAATCAATGTGACATGCATAGATTTAGGCAGCTTACAGATTTGTTTTGTTTGAAGATCTCTTGGGTTCCATTTCCATGATGGACATCCTACAACAATGGAGAAGATATTCACATTCACCTAAAGAAGGTTGAAGACTTGAAGTTCTATAAAAACACCCAGTACTGAGTTATCAGCGACATTACCCAGTCCACAATCAGCGCCTTCTTTTCCCCTGCTGCTTGTGCTACTAATGCAGCAACAGCATTATTGTGAAGGCAAAACCCCATAGAATGTTTGATGCCAGCATGATGACCAGGAGGTCTAACCTGACTCAATCAAACATTTTTCAAAGCGGATATGGTGTAACTTCAATTTCAAGCACACACGTATTGCATATTTAGTTACTGAAACTTATGGTAAAATTATGACATACCAAAGCGAAACCATTATTTACACGGCCAGAGAGAATTTCTTTAGCTAGATCAGCGCACAAACCTGCTGCAAGTCTAGAAGCACGTGCTGAATACTCATTAGCATATGTGTCAGAGGTGAAGTAGCTGCCAGACAAGGAAAAGAAAGATGAGCAGTGAGAGCAAAACTAGATAAATGAAGCATGTTTTGCATGCTGAAGACTGCAAAGTTACAGGTGAATTCAAACGTATTGTGAAGCTGGCTTGTAATATCAACAGCATCAACATGTTCTAAAGTTTGTGCCTCCAAAATTGAAAATATAAACCATTGATTGACTTTTTTTTACAAAAGTAAATGAAACAAACAAACTACTCGCAGTAAGAGATGTCTCCCAAACTATTAAGTAGCAGCTTACCATCTGGAGTTTTTGTTTAGTGATTTTATAGGAGGATAAGGATGAGTTAGTTGTTATATTTACTAAATATTGTGATAATGATGTAATTAGAGATAGGAGTTATCTTGTGGTAAGTCGGTGAGAATCCTTGTATATATACTCTAGAGAACGTATGAATAAACACACCTTTTACATTACATCTTACAGATTTCCCTTGCATGAATAGAATAGCATCTACCAGGAAAAAGGCCTGCAAATTTTCAAAATGTGACGAATACAAAAATCACATACAGCAAAATAGAACATGTTCATATGATCATTACAGAACAGATATACCAGCTGTGGCAAGACTGGCAGCTATAGCTCGAAGACGATCAGGTCTCTCAGCATGTGTAAGTTCCTTCACTTTTTTTTTTTTTTTTTGAACAAGTGTAAGTTCCTTCACTTCGAACTTATTAAACATGACATCATGAACCACGGTAGCGCAAACAAAGAGGCGACTTGGACGACGACGTTTTGGGACTTTAAAGCTTGGGCTGAGTATATGTGACCCAATAAGAATATAGGCCCATTAATGAGGTTTTGAAACATTATGAACCTCTCCTTAATAGAAACATTATGAACCTCTGTTGAATATGAAACTTATCAAACATATAAGTATGATTAAAACGTTTTTTTCAGTGGATAACTCAAATTCTCCCCTCTGCAAGTCGACAACACCATGTTCCTTTTTTTTCTTAATTAAAACAAAAATCCATGATTCTGAGCAGCTTCAACACCCACTATTTCCAACTAAACGTGACCCTCTCGGGTCTCGGCTTTGGCATAAAAACGACACAAAATATTGAGTATATAGTAACTTTTCTTTGACCAAAAAAAAAAAAGTAACTTACTGTCTCATCGCATTTGCATGTTCTTATTAAGATATTACTTTGTTAGAAAACAAATTGCCCAATATGATTAATATAACCAAACATCCATTGACAAGAAAAATATTTGGGGTACATATATATGTATAGTTGACAAGAAAAATATTGAATAGTATATATTTGGCAGGTGGTGACTTATGTCTCCTCCTTTTAATGCCTCTATATCATCACTTGTGCATACAAATGTGTGTTTTATGATTACTCGTGCGAACAAAGAAGCATAGTAATACATTTGATAATAATGTAGAACCTTCCTCTCTTCTTTTTCAGAGACTTTCCAACTCGTTTTGGTGAAGACGGCATCTTCTCCCAATTCTTCAATGTCTCATTCTTTGGCTCTTCCTTCATTTTCTCTCTCTCTCTCTCTATATATATATATATATATATATTAAGCTTGTTTTGTTTCTTTAATCAGAAGGTTTAGGTGAACCTTGATGATTGTGTGATGTTTAAAGGGTGTTTATGAGGAAGTGAAGGTTCATCATTATATTGGAGTGAGATAGAAAATGAGATAAGGAGAATGTAGTCCACACCATTGATTCGGGACCCTTCAAGGAAAAAAAACCTAAACCAAAATCCCCTTGTGGAGTGTGACAGGCTAGCTTCCCATTGTGGTTGAAAATATTTGATGCATTGTTTTCTTGTCTCCTTTTAGTTCAAAGATTCATCATCGGTAGAGATATTTGTGATAGATTCTCTTCTTTTTACTTTTTTTGTCAACATTGTCATGGATTTATTTTGTTTATATGAGTAGTTATGTTAGAATATACGGTTACGCGGTCGTCCAAATCTGATATTCATTTTCTAAGTACAATTGGTCATGCAAACTAACTAATGATCTAATGAAGTAATAATAAAGTGTTGTTAAAAAAAAGTGGCCGTTTAATCGCATTTTGCAGTTAAGAGCTATCGTGGAACATATTACAAATTCATATAAAATGAAATCTAATTTATACGTATAAACACTAGTTAATCAACTTTCATATAAGAATTATACATTTATATTTCTAAATTATACATTTTTGTAGGAAAAGATTATACATTGCATTTACCATTTTCACACAAAAAAAGATTACCTTTATGCTTCGTTTGAAACTTAGGACATGTATTCATATATTCTAGAAATATGCGATTGAAATCTTATCATAACGCTTTTAACATTAACTGTTAAAATCTAGAGGCTGACAATGTGAAAATCAAGAACGTAAAGCACTATTGTTTTCAAAAGATATCCCCCAGTCTACTGAATTCAGTCATTGCATTTAAATCAATGGCCATCCAATAATT